GAGGTCTACTGACCCGCGTCTGGACTGGTGGTGGAGTGTTGCGGCGGGTGTGTGTCAGGACCTGGAGGTCTACTGACCCGCGTCTAGACTGGTGGTGGAGTGTTGTGGCGGGTGTGTCAGGACCTGGAGGTCTACTGACCCGCGTCTAGACTGGTGGTGGAGTGTTGCGGCGGGTGTGTGTCAGGACCTGGAGGTCTACTGACCCGCCTTTGTTTCCTACTCACCCGCCTCTGTAAAGCAGCTTTCTAAAGCTGCTTTACAGTCACATCAGGAGAAAACAACAGTGAAGGGATTGGTAATGAAACTAAGAAAATGAGAGGACAGTTTCACCAGGAATGACAAAGGAAGTATGAGGAACTCAACAACATATTGTATGAGGTCATCACAATAGAGCAAGGGAAAGTGACTCGAGTGAAAAACGAGGCGTTAAACCAAGCATCACTGGAGGAATATGAGATAACCAGCAGTGAGGTAAAGAAGTACCTGCTGGAACTGAACTTGTCAAAGGACCTTTGTCAAGACAGAATCTCAACGTGGATACTAATATAGGGAAGCCGAAGCATCATGTTTGCCACTCTATGCTGTATAATAGATTACTTTAAATAGGAAAATTGCCAGAAAGTTGGAAGACAACTAATGTAACTCCAATATAACAGAAGGGATCCTATAGTTCAGTCATGAAGTAATAAAGTACAGCCCAGTATTCCTAACTAGGATACCGTGCTTGGTGATGGAGAAGATTGCAGTTAAGACCAATACATCATCTGAAGAGAATAGACTGTATAACACACTCTCATCATAGGTTGTGAGATGGTAAATTTTGACTCACAGGTTTAATAAAAAGTTGTAACCAAGCGATGAATATTTGACAAGAAATATGGTTGGGCAGAGTGTATGCCTAGTGCACAAGAGTGAGAAACAGACAGCAGTAACAAGGAAGGAAATCCAGCTGATAAGGGAGTACCTAAGCAACAGAAGACAGAGAGTCATTGTGAAGGGTGAGGTCTGGGAGTGGAGAGACGTCACCAGAGGAGTGACACAGGGTTCAGTTCTCAGCTCTATCATGTTTATCATATACGTAAATTGATCTTCCAGAGAGAATTGACTCGTGCAGACAGCATGGTGCAGTTCCTTCGTGCAGGCAGCCTCGTGAAGACAACATGGTGCAGTTCCTTCGTGCAGGCAGCCTCGTGCAGACAACATGGTGCAGTTCCTTCGTGCAGGCAGCCTCGTGCAGACAGCATGGTGCAGTTCCTTCGTGCAGGCAGCCTCGTGCAGACAGCATGGAGCAGTTTCTTCGTGCAGGCAGCCTCGTGCAGACAGCATGGAGCAGTTTCTTCGTGCAGGCAGCCTCGTGAAGACAACACACTGCCCACCTGGTAATCTACCCTTCACCAGTGGGTACACAATGGGGGCCGAGTGTGTGTAATAATAGTGGAGTGTGGTAGTCTGGGTGCTGGTGTGGAGCATGGTAGCGCAGGACAGCAGTGCCCTGGACAGCAGTGCCCAGGACAGCAGTGCCCAGGACAGTAGTGCCCATGACAGTAGTGCCCAGGACAGCAGTGACCAGGACAGCAGTGACCAGGACAGTAGTGCCCAGGACAGCAGTGACCAGGACAGCAGTGCCCAGGACAGCAGTGCCCAGGACAGCAGTGCCCTGGACAGTAGTGCCCAGGACAGTAGTGCCCAGGACAGCAGTGCCCAGGACAGTAGTGCCCAGGACAGTAGTGCCCAGGACAGTAGTGCCCTGGACAGTAGTGCCCAGGACAGCAGTGACCAGGACAGTAGTGCCCATGACAGTAGTGCCCAGGACAGCAGTGCCCAGGACAGCAGTGCCCAGGACAGCAGTGCCCTGGACAGTAGTGCCCTGGACAGCAGTGGCCAGGACAGCAGTGCCCAGGACAGCAGTGGCCAGGACAGCAGTGGCCAGGACAGCAGTGCTCAGGACAGCAGTGCCCAGGACAGCAGTGCCCAGGACAGCAGTGCCCAGGACAGCAGTGGCCAGGACAGCAGTGGCCAGGACAGTAGTGCCCAGGACAGCAGTTCCCAGGACAGCAGTGCCCAGGACAGCAGTGCCCAGGACAGCAGTGCCCAGGACAGCAGTGGCCAGGACAGCAGTGCCCAGGACAGCAGTGACCAGGGCAGCAGTGCCCAGGACAGCAGTGCTCAGGACAGCAGTGCCCAGGACAGCAGTGCCCAGGACAGCAGTGCCCAGGACAGCAGTGCCCAGGACAGCAGTGCTCAGGACAGCAGTGCCCATGACAGCAGTGCCGAGGACAGCAGTACCCAGGACAGCAGTGCTGAGGACAGCACTGCCCAGGACCGCAGTGCCCAGGACAGCAGTGCCGAGGACAGTAGTGCCCAGGACAGCAGTGCCCAGGACAGTAGTGCCCAGGACAGCAGTGCCCAGAACAGCAGTGACCAGGGCAGCAGTGGCCAGGACAGCAGTGCCCAGGACAGCAGTGCCCAAGACAGCAGTGCCCAGGACAGCAGTGCCTAGCTCAGCAGTGCCCATGACAGCAGTGCCGAGGACAGCAGTGCCTAGAACAGCAGTGCCGAGGACAGCAGTGCCCAGGACAGCAGTGCCGAGGACAGCAGTGTCGGGGACAGCAGTGCCCAGGACAGCAGTGTCGGGGACAGCAGTGCCCAGGACAGCAGTGCCGAGGACAGCAGTGCCCAGGACAGCGGACGCTTTCACTGTAAACTCCGCAGTACACCACAAAACGTATGATATAAAGTCATCCGTGAAATTATGTAAATCAGTAAATGAGATCAAAAGTTCTACTATTAATGTATTTTATGTAAATGACCACAACACACGCAACGTGACGTCCAAACCACACTTGGGAGCCGGTGGCCGAGCGGACAGCACGCTGGGCACGTGATCCTGTGGTCCCGGGTTCGATCCTGGGCGCCGGGGAGAAGCGATGGGCAGAGTTTCTTTCACCCTATGCCCCTGTTACCTAGCAGTAAATAGGTGCCTGGGAGTTAGTCAGCTGTCACGGGCTGCTTCTTGGTGTGTGTGTGTGTGTGTGTGGGGGGGGGGGGGGGGGGAAAATAGTAGTGGTAGTGGTAGAAACAGTTGATTGACAGTTGAGAGGCGGGCCGAAAGAGCAGAGCTCAACCCCCGCAAGCACTACTAGGTGAATACACGTCTGAAAAAACAGAGTAAGCAACAACGTTTCGGTCCAGGAAGAACCGAAACGTTGTTGCATCCTATTTATTTTCTGACTGTGGGGTTTGGTTGTCCACTTCTCAGTCACGTTTTTTAAGCCTTGCTGTCTGGATAAGAAACATGTTTCACGAACCCGAAGACCTGGTTCGAGGGAAAAATAATGATGTTAAAGGCATGTATATATATATATATATATATATATATATATATATATATATATATATATATATATATATATATATATATATATATATATATATATATATATATATATATATAACTGAAAACTCACAAACCAGAAGTGACTTGAACCCATACTGCCAGGAGCAATCTGCTGGTGTACAGGATCCCTTAACCGCTCGACCAACACGACTGGACAAAAGAGGATGGTAGCCAAGGCTATTTCCATCCCCCCGCCGGCACTCTGTTGGTAATCTTGGGCATGATATTTTGTCAAATCACCTCATTCTTTGGGGCACATGTGAGGAACACAAATGCGAACAAGCCTGAATGGTCCCCAGGACTATATGCAACTGAAAACTCACTCCCCAGAAGTGACTCGAACCCATACTGTCAGGAGCACTCTGCTGGCGTACAGGATCCCTTAACCGCTCGACCAACCGAGTGCCGGCGGGGGGGATGGAAATAGCCTCGGCTACCATCCTCATTTGTCCGGTCGTGTTGGTCGAGCGGTTAAGGGATCCTGTACACCAGCAGAGTGCTCCTGGCAGTATGGGTTCGAGTCACCTCTGGTGTGTGAGTTTTCAGTTGCATATAGTCATGGGGACCATTCTGGCTAGTTCGCATTTGTGTTCCTCACGTGTGCCCCAAAGAATGAGGTGATTTGATAAAATATTATGTCCAAGATTACCATCAGAGTACCAGCGGACTGATTTGCAAATAGCCTCGGCTACCATCAGCTTTTCTCCGGTCGTGATGGTCGAGTGCATAAGATGTTCTGTACACACCAGTTGCATTGTGCTCCTGGTAGTATGGGTTCGAGTCACTTCTGGGAAGTGAGTTTTCCGTTTTATATATATACATATATTATATATATATATACATATTATATATATATACATATATTATATATATATATATATATATATATATATATATATATATATATATATATATATATATATAGATAGATATATATATATATATATATATATATATATATATATATATATATATATATTGTGACGATAATCTCTTTCAAGAGAGATTGAGCCTGCTCTTCCCTATATCAGTCACGTCATTCTACAAGTACAAGATGCTACATTCAAGATACGTCCACCAGTAGCACAAAACGTTTTGACCAGGAAGCAAAGCGTACCCTGCACCACCCGTCACGCCGGCTCACCGCCCGTCGTCAACGAGCTGACTACCCATTCTCCGCCTGCCTGCTCCTGATTGGCTGGTGTATCGCCGACAGCACACCTGCACCTGCACTCATGCCCTCTACCTGAGTCGACGTCTGGGCCAGCTCAAGCCGTCCTCCTCAGAATATTCCTGTGCTCTTAGAAGTTGACATCTCTCTCTGGTATACTAAGCCCTGGCTGTCGTATACTAAGGGAGGTAGCAGCTATAGCCAATATTCTCAGCACCTGATTATTATTGCATTGCACATTATTTTATTGTAGAGTAAATTTTCATATCTAGTAATTATTCATGTTGTTTTGTTTGTTGACTTGTTTTGAATTGTACGTAAGCCAAGGGATTGACTTTGTTCATATTTTGTTTTCTAAAGTAACTAAAATTTCATTGTTTATATTTTGTGTTTTGCGTGTCTTCCCATTACCTTACCACAGACAAACAGGCAAGCAGTCTCTTTAATTTATGTAAGTGTGACCAGGCATTGACACCTGCCATTGGAGGACTGCCGAACATCAACACTCCAACACTTTACCGTCACAATATATATATATATATATATATATATATATATATATATATATATATATATATATATATATATATATATCTATATATATATATATATATATATATATATATATATATATGACAATGTCAGACCACGGAGGAAAAATGAAACAGGAATTTCCTTAAGTTTACCATTTTATGCTATAATTATCTATGTATTGTGCCTGTGTATGTTTGCTGTATCAGATGGGCCATTGTGCTACATCAGATGGGCCAATTGGCTGCATCTGATGGGCCAATGGGCCGTCTGCGCTGTCCACGTAGTGTACCTCACCTCACTTCACCATTCTCTCCTGCCTATTTATACCCATCACTCGATCTGTAAAATCACTCCTTCTGAAGATGTATTAATATACGAAAGTCCTTAAGGAAATTCCTGTTTCATTTTTCCTCCGTGGTCTGACATTGTCACATTTTTAATCACGTGTTTATTTTCGTGATATACACACACACACATATATATATATATATATATATATATATATATATATATATATATATATATATATATATATATGTCGTACCTAGTAGCCAGAACTCACTTCTCACCTTACTATTCAAGGCCCGATTTGCCTAATAAGCCAAGTTTTCCTGAATTAATATATTTACTAAAATTTTTTTCTTATGAAATGATAAAGCAACCCTTTTCTCTATGTATGAGGTCAAATTTTTTTTATTGGATTTAAATTAACGTAGATATATGACCGATCCTAACCAACCCTACCTAACCTAACCTATATTTATAGGTAAGGTTAGGTTAGGTAGCCAAAAAAAGCTAGGTTAGGTTAGGTTAGGTAGACGAAAAAACATTAATTCATGAAAACTTGGCTTATTAGGCAAATCGGGCCTTGAATAGTAGGCTGAGAAGTGCGTTCTGGCTATTAGGTACGACATATATATATATATATATATATATATATATATATATATATATATATATATATATATATATATATATATATATATATATATATATATATATATATATATATATATATATATATATATATATATATATATATATATATATATATATATATATATATATTAGTATATTTTGGTAGCAGTCTTTCCTGTAGACATATATTATTAAATATGACCGAAAAAGTAAGATTAATAATTCTAACACGAATTTTCTCAATCTTTCGTACATTTCTTTTCACTGTTGGAGGTAAATCAAAAATCAATTCTCCAAAATTCATTTTTATTTCTAGTCTGACGCGACACTTGAGCGCGTTTCGTAAAACTTATTACATTTTCAAAGACTTTAGTTTACAAATACACAACTGAATAGAACTTACGCATCTCCGATTTTATATCTACATTTGAGTGAGGTGGATGGGGTGAGGTGGCATTAATAGGGTATTAATTTCATCAACACAAGACAGAACAAGAGGTGGCATTAATAGGGTATTAATTTCATCAACACAAGACAGAACACGAAACAATGGGTATTGAATAGAAGTGTTTGTAGAAAGCCTATTGGTCCATATTTCTTGATGCTTCTATATTGGAGCGGAGTCTTGAAGTGGGTAGAATATAGTTGTGCATTAATTGGCTGTTGATTTCTTGATGTGTAGTGCCTCGCAAACGTCAAGCCGCCTGCTATCGCTGTATCTATCGATGATTTCTGTGTTGTTTACTAGGATTTCTCTGGCGATGGTTTGGTTGTGGGAAGAGATTATATGTTCCTTAATGGAGCCCTGTTGCTTATGCATCGTTAAACGCCTAGAAAGAGATGTTGTTGTCTTGCCTATATACTGGGTTTTTTGGAGCTTACAGTCCCCAAGAGGGCATTTGAAGGCATAGACGACGTTAGTCTCTTTTAAAGCGTTCTGTTTTGTGTCTGGAGAGTTTCTCATGAGTAGGCTGGCAGTTTTTCTGGTTTTATAGTAAATCGTCAGTTGTATCCTCTGATTTTTGTCTGTAGGGATACGTTTCTATTAACAATATCTTTCAGGACCCTTTCCTCCGTTTTATGAGCTGTTGAAAAGAAGTTCCTGTAAAATAGTCTAATAGGGGGTATAGGTGTTGTGTTAGTTGTCTCTTCAGAGGTTGCATGGCGTTTCACTTTCCTTCTTATGATGTCTTCGACGAAACGATTGGAGAAGCCGTTGTTGACTAGGACCTGCCTTACCCTACAGAGTTCTTCGTCGACTTGCTTCCATTCTGAGCTGTGGCTGAGAGCACGGTCGACATATGCGTTAACAACACTCCTCTTGTACCTGTATGGGCAGTCGCTGTTGGCATTTAGGCACATTCCTATGTTCGTTTCCTTAGTGTAGACTGCAGTGTGGAAACCTCCGCTCTTTTCCATGACTGTTACATCTAGAAAGGGCAGCTTCCCATCCTTTTCCATCTCGTAAGTGAAACGCAGC